GGGCGGGGCGGGGCGGGGCGGGGCGCTCCCGGCCTGGGTCGCGGCCGCGGATCGCCGGCCCCGGAAATGCAAAGTACGACAATGTGACGACATGTCGTGTGGCATGTGTGGGCGCCCCGCGGCCGCCGGCCCCTCGGGGCACGCACCGCCGCCGCAATGTCGTCCGCAGGTATGCGCGCGCGGCGTGTCCCCCTCCAAGCGTCCGGCGAGAGGAAAGAAAGCACAATGAGGCACAGGTAATGGCACAATAGTACGGTAATTGAGACGGGAGCCGAGCGCGCCAGCGTGTGTGTGTGTGTGTATGTGTGTGTGTGTGTGTGCGAGTACGGCGTTTGTGTATGTCTGAATGTACATACGACGAACTAATCTCCCTCCCTCTTTTCCCTTTTTTTTGCAGCAACGCATAGCTGTGGTCAAAATAGTAAGAACAAAAAAATAGAAACGAGACAGTCAGTGCAACTGGTGCCACTGTCATTGGCTCTTTCAGTTAACAATAAAATTCGCGCTCCAGTCGTATTTTTTTCCTCTTTTGAAATGTCTTCTTTAACAGAGTGTGTGACACTCGAACACTTTCAAGTGCGTTCTAAAATGTCACACATAAGAATATGTGTAATGCATAGTAAAAGTGTGTGACTTGTAGAAGTTTATTTTCGTGTCGGACACCAAAAAAAATGTGTGACAGTGCACACTTTTGCGTGAAACATTGTGGCACGCACTCTTGAGTGTTCGAATGCCACACACTTGTGTTTGTAGAGTAGCAGGTGACGAGGCGGCGTGACCCGGCTGACCGGGCGCGGTGCCGGGCCCGTCCCCGTCCGGCAGGCCGAGCAGCAGCAGCAGGCCGGTCCTGCAGGCCGGCGACGACGACAGCACAACCTGCTACTCACAAAGTGCTGCCGCCACTTGCCGCGAGACTGCTGCGACGGGGCGATACGGACAGGCAGACAGGAGGGGCTGGCGGCAGGGCTGGCAGGGGCAGAGCGGGACAGGCGGGGCTGGCGGGCAGCGCGCGGTAGATTTAGTCATGAGTAAGAGACCCCGGCAGTGACCTACACCTGACCGTGCCGCGCCGCGCCACCGCCGCCCGCTAAGGAAAGTAAGAGAGAGTGCCCCTGGGCAGGGCTGGGCTGGGCAGGGCCCCATCACATTCCCCCCTGCATTTATATATATAAACATCATGCTGCCCCGCCTCGACGACATCGCCATTTTATACAATCCGCGAGGATTTTGGCGAACGCGACGGCGAGGGCAGGCGTGCGCGCGCGCAGGGGCGCAAAGTTCTGCAGCAGCAGGAAAATTTACATATGCAGGTGAAGGACGTGTGCGAACGTTGTGCGGCGGGTCACGGATGCACTGGAAACAATGTCTTTCGTAAATTTGCAACATTTACTTTTTATAATTTTTATTTACAAGTGCTTTCACGTACGAAGTCGTAAATTTACTTGCTGCTTGGAGAACGATTAAAACTTTTACTCATGTTATAGTTAAACTTTATAATTTGAATTTGCGATTTCCATACAGTGTAAAAGGGTGTACGAGAAACAGTGTTAAATGGTGACAAAAATTATTGTTCGAATCGAGTGCACCTTTTGTGAAACGGGCGCGGAAAGAGTTTTAAGAAGAGCAGGGAGTAGTCGGGGAGCGGAGGGGCAATAAAAAGGCAAAACGTTTCTGTCGACCAACTCGCACGGGCCGGCTGGGGGTCAGCCGCGCGACGCGTGCGACAGCAGCGGGAAAGTGAGCTCCATTAGGCTTCTCTGAATTTCTCATACGTACTCCATCGCGGCGGGTGTCCAGTCACGTACTGCGCGCGGCATTTCTCTTTCCATATACCATATATATAAAAGATAGGACGTCTTCGTCCGTTTTTTTTACCTGCCCCGGCCACCGCGTATTGCTAGGATACAGACAGAAGTCGCGGCCACCATAAGCACTGGGGGGGGGGGGGGAAGGTAATTACTTGGGGAAAATGCGACACATATTTTTAAGACAACGATTCATCCGAGAGGAATCCAAACACCTCACACCTATTGTGAACGCCACACCCACACATCAACGGGAGCGCGCTCCGTAAAATCTACAATAGTTTTCGAAAGAATGAAAAACCGCGTTTGTGTGCAGAGTATGACTATCTTTGAGGAAAGTCCGGCAGCAGCGCCGGGCGCGGCGGCGTTTGGAGCACAGGTCAGGGATTGAGTGCGTGCTGCCCGCGGCTATAGCTGGGTGCCCACCGCGCACCGCGCGCCCCGCCGGCCGTGCCACTCAAAACAATGGCTCGACACAAACAGCGATTTAATACCGCGGCGCTTGCAGTCAATCACAGGTGCACGGGAGGGAGAAAACTCAAGCAGGCGCCGGGAACGAGCACGCAGGGACGTCTTCGACATTGACGTTTCGGTACAACTGTTTGAACTAAAATCCCAGCATAAGACTGACTTTTCCGCAGTCGTATACACCCCCCCCCCTCACACACACACCCACTACAGAAAGTCTACTATGGCTACCTTCTTTGATGTGTGATGTAAAATTAGAACCCCAAAAAAGTAAAACTATAAGTACTATGTATTGACTTAAAATTAATTACTGACGAGTAGAATGGGCTGTCGATATTTTTCATGGTGGAAGCGTGTATGCAATATGGAGTTGGGCTGTTCGGGGAAAAATAAATGCACATACATAAAGTTTCTTTTACAAATTGTAAAACCTATTAATCACTGTCATATATAAAATTTTGTTAATTTTGTGGAATCAATCAGAATCAATTTAAAAATCTACATTATCATTATCATCATCGTCTTCATCTGAGGACCACATGTGTACAACCCCATCACAGTTCACGCGGTTCTTTGCTGCATTCTTTCTCAAATAGTTCACTTGAAAACCAGGCCGTCTTTTTAAAAGCTCGTGGCATTCCCCCCCTGGTTTCGAACACTGACGACAGTGGCATAAATTTTCAAACTCTATATTTATTTGCAGTCTCGGATAGATCTGCAGCATCTCGCATAGCAGGTCCCAGTTGCAGTTGAAACATCGGTCCAGAAACATCACATTTAGACGTGTGACGTTGGGAAGGAGGTTAGGACGAATGGCTCTCAGCAGATGTGGCGTCACCATCAGATCGGCAGTCAGTTCCTCAAGTCGGGGGAAGTTTGGAAGTATGGGTACAACGAGCTCCCAGAGGCGATCGGCCTGTTCCTTTGTCTGCAAATAGAAAAACTCGTTAACTTATAATATGTCTGCAATGAAAAACTCCTATAATTATCAGGATATTTCTAGTAGAAATGCTGAAGCTTAAAGCAAACACATCTTACAAGGGAAGGTTTTCCGGTGATACATTCAGGTTTCAATGGCGCTTTAAAGTGTAGTTGTTTGCGTCTTTAGACAAGATTTGGCACTAGTTTTAGCTTCCGAGGGGGTTTTCATGGTCGTTTTACGCGAATTTAATTAGAAATTCGCCGAATTTATAGTAATTGTCAATTTAACTTGCAGATATCTCCAGAACCGTTTGAGCTACAGCACAGCGCCCAGATTTTGCGGGAAATCATAACTCGGCTCGTTCTCTCCTTTAGAGAAAATTGGAACGAAATCGAAGAGAGTCGACAAAAGGGGTCCCAGAGAGGAGGTTACGGTCCTGGGCCCCTTTTGGTGACCCCATTGATTTCGTTCAAATATTTGTCATTGAAAGTGCTCACTGGAAGATAATTTCCACCAAAATATGGGCACTGTAGCCCAAACGATTCCGGAGATTTGTGCATGCAAAGCAAGCAATAAATTTAGGGAATATTTAATTAAATTCGCGTAAAATGACCTTCAAACCCCATACGGGGACAGATACAACCAGTGCCTAACGTTCTCTACGGTTGAAGATAACTACAGTTAAGCGTCATTGAAATCTGGCTGTATCGCCGGAAAACTTTCCCTTGATAGTAGCGCACAATTTTGTAATTAATTGGGCACTTCTAAATGCGTACAAAGACCAGGTTCGTAATGCAATTTAATTATTTTTAGCTTAAGAGTATCATTAGAAGTAGCGTAGTGCTCTTCCGTCTTCAAGCTTACAAAAAAATATAGTTTGTAATGTAATGAAATTTGTTTTTTACGATCGTTTTTCTTAGTTAATATGAAATTTCCGTAGCATTGGTTCTTATGGTAGCATTTACGATCAATTCTTGGCTTAAATAAAATTCTTAGTATAAACGGCCCGCTTAGTGAGAATCGTTTCCATCGGGATGGAAAATAAAAATTTAAGCTAGCCTCTTCGTTAAAATAAATTCTTAAATTTTATCCGGCCGATGGCGCGAAGTACGAACTAGACAATGAGAATGGCGGAAATGCCAAACAAACATGGCGACGGCGGCAAGAATTTTACTTAACCTCGGAAACGATCGTAAATGCCTCTCCGCGAAAACCCCTTAAATTAATGACAAAACCGCCTTCGCGTAAATAAAATCGAATTTATATTAACTGAGCCAAAACGATCGTAAATGGGCCCCAAGGATTTTCATCTGCTACAGTTCATAATGCAAACAAGTTCTTCACAATAATGAGAGTGATAATTGCTCGTTACGTAACGATACAAAGAAATTAGTTCTTAAGCTTTTGACAGTGCGCATTACTACATTTAAGTGAATTCGTGCTGTCAGGAATGGTTGTGAAAAACTAAAACTTACCCAATTAACTTCAGTACGGACTTTTAGAGAAGTAATCTGGGAGCGACCAGCGCCATCCAATGCTCGGAATAGGTCCGTCGCCGTTTCAAAATTATCGAACCAAAAGCTCAGATGAGTGAGATGAGGAGCAGAGCGCAGGAAGCAGCAGAGACTGGAGATGGCGCAGCGAGCATCTTCCTCGTTAGACCCTTGCACCGCGTCAACTACGGTTGAAATTTCAAGGTCGGTTAGCGAACGGCAAGCCAGCAGCTGCTCGAAGCCCCCCAAGAACGGGCATCTAAGTTTTCGGAGGTTGTTGCACTTGCTCAGCAGCCTGGCGACCGTCATGTCGCTATGGAAATTATCGAATTCGGTACAAAAAAGGAGGTCGAGATCTTCCAGGCTGAGGGCGACCGCTTGCAGCAGCGATTCCAGGAAGGGATCTGACCCTGGCCCTCCCTCGTACGTCAGCTTCCGAAGAGACGGAGCAGCAGCAGGAAAGCATGATCTCTTGAAAATCGACAGTCTTTCCGTCTTGCAGAATTGCCGCACTTCCAGCTCACGCAATCCTTCGACGCTCAGCACAACGTCAAAGTTGTTGTAGACAAATGGATCCCTCACAGTTAACCATATGCACCTGAGGTTGCCCAGTCCCGCCTGGTGGCGCACCACTTGTAGGAGAGCCTCGTTGGCCCCACCGTCCGGAATATATATGTATACCAAGGCGGCAGGGCACATGGCGGTCGCGGCCAAGGAAAGGGGATTCTCAGAGGATAACCTGAGTTCGCCGCAGCACGGTGGTCGCAAGCTGAGGTGCCGCTCTCCAACGATTAAGTACCGCCACACGCCGGGGTGCATGGCCAGGTCCCGCCAACGGCGACAGACGAGCCGGAGCGGCAACAGTTCCCTAATATCGAAGTAACGCATCACAAGTATCAGGAAGCCGTTCGGCAACAACTCCATCTAGATGCAAGAAAATACAAAAGAGTTACTAACGCTTGCACAAGAAGATAACTTTTGGCCAGTAAAATCAATCAGAAAAAATTAGTATTTTTTTAAGTTGGCTTTTATTTTGCGTCGGCCCAATTGCTTAAGCCTTCCTGTGGGTCACCTGATTTTACGTACCGCTCGGTGCCGCCACACATCTGGGTGTTGAACCAGGTCCCGCCAGCGCCGGCAAACGAGACGACATCGCTGGAGGTCCCCACAGCCGAGGAGTCGCAGTACAAGGATCAGGGCGTCGTCACACAGCTTCTGTGGATAACAGAAACAAAACAAAAACGGTAACGACGAAGAAAATTGGTCTGAGCTACGTGTAGTATAATTGTGCAACAGTCTCAAGCGTTAGTATACTTGACAGTGCTGAACCATCACTGTTAAAAATTTCTCTCTTAAATTTAATAACATTATTTACTGGAAGCATTAACACAAACATTGTTCGTAAATTTAATAACATAAGTGTTGTGAAAATTAATAACATATTTGTTATGAAAATTCATAACATAAGTTGTGAAAATTAATAACACAAGTAATAACCTAATATTAAAACGATGTTGGTAGTAGTGGAGGTGGAGAGGAGAGGCAGACGAGTACGAGCTCCAGAGCGACCTGCTCGCCATCACACCGACCGCTGCGGCAAGAGTCCGATATGTCTCGCCTCAAACGTTCGGGCCGGGCGCCAGCCAAACCCCGACGTGACACATATTTGGCGCGCGGTCACGATACGACGGCGGCGTGGCGGGGCGCGGGGCAGCACCCACAGCAGCAGCGCGGCGAGGGGACATTTTGGGTCATCACGGTGTCCTGACGGGTA